AATAGGGATTTTAAAAGACAAGAAGTAAAAGGTCAGAAAAGGGGCCTCCACACACAGTAGACGACAAGGACTCGGGACTCCAAGGCGGGAAAACCATAGCAATATCCGCCGCTTTGCTTCCCCCCTTTTCTGTTTGAATTCTTTCAAGGGTTTTAGCCTCTTATTTTTGTCATTTTATTTCATTTTCTGTGTCTAATCATTTTTCAAGATTCTCTCAACAAAGCATTCACATTTTTGACATTCAAAATAGTACTTTACTTTATTTACTACCCAAAATAAGTGGTTGTACGGCCGCTAATTAGAGTTATATTCCCTCATTCTCTATTTACTTGAAATATTTATTAAAAAAATAATAATTAATACAGTAAATTTATCATTTTATCCTTATTAATTGTTAGAATTTCAAAATCAATTTATTTATTAATGAAGTTCTACATTTTTCAAAAGCATCAACTCTCTAAATAAATTGAGGGTAAAATAGGTAAAATATTGTCTTTTCTTGATTTATCAAAATTGACAAATAAAAAGGAACAAGTAAAAAATCAAAATTTGATAAGTAAAAAGGGATAGAGGGAATATAATACATATATTAATAACAGAAAAGGGTCATATTTGCCCTTGTAATATCTGAAAAGGGTTATATTTGTCATTCGTTATACTTTTTTGATATATTTGCACTACCATTCAATTTTAGGCACATATTTGCCCTTGAATAGTTAAATCTTATGTCCCCCACTTTTATTATCCTATGTGGCGCCTACATTGCGTACCTATATATATATATTTGTTCTATTTAAAATTTTCTGTTAATTTAATATTATATCCAACTCAATATTATACCCACCCATCTAACCCATAAAACCCAAATCCTAAATATCCACCTTATATCGTCACTTTCAACACTCTTTCAATACCATTTAAGCACAATTTAACCACCATTTCAACACACAAAAATCATAACCACAATTTCAGCACTATGTTAATACAATTTTCAACACTTCCTTTTTGCAACCTATCTACACAAATTTCAGCAGAATATCAGCATAATTTAACCACCATTTCAACATTATTTCAACGTCAAACACTACTAAAAAATTGCTAAAAAATGACGGACAGAAAAGCGACGGACGGCATCACTCCAAAAAGCGACGTTATTTGCCACACTGTCCGTCGCTTTTTAATAAAAATAATTATTTTTTAAATTATTTTACAAAAAGCGACGGACGGCATCTCTTAGTCCGTCGCTTTTTTTTCGTGGATTTTTACGCCAAATAGATATATAATTAATAATTATTTATTTAATATATATATATAGACGTCGTCCGTCGCTTTTTATAAGAAATAATTATTTATAAATTAAACAATAACCACACTGTCCGTCACTCTTAATTTATTTTATTTTATTAATTATTTTTTAAAAAGCGACGGACAACATCTCTTAGTCCGTCGCTTTTTGGTGAAAATATCTGGTCAAATACTTTAAAAAAGCAACGGACAGTATCGTTTAGTCCGTCGCTTTTTGGTTAAAACGTTGGTCAAACATTTTTAAAAAAGCGACGGACAAAGAGACGTTGTCTGCCGCTTTTTGTTTAATTATGTTGCACCAGAGACGAGTTTTCCCCCAAATTTCTCATCTGTCTTTCTCTCTTTTCTCTCTCTTCTCTCTAAGAATCCCGCCTACGCCACACCACCGCATGTCGACGCCACCACCGCCCATCACCGCCACCACCTCTCTCGCCCCGTCACCGGCCGACCCTCTGCCGCCACCCAAAAGAATTCCCCAAGTGCCTCTCTTTCTTGTTATAAGGTTAGGGTTTAATTTTAGTTTTTTTTTTCAATTCTAGTAATTAGATTTGATTTCTTAGTTTGTATATTGTTTTAGTTTGTTGAATTGTGTTATTCAATTGTTAATTTGTACATTTGATTATTGTTAGTTAGGGAGAGAATTGAGGATTTTAGATTTTAGGGTTAGTTTTCTTTTAAATTGAGGGTTTTTAAATATGATTGTAAATTAATAAGTATTAGAAGTTAGAAATTAGAAGTTAGATTAGTTGAGTTTTCCAATTTGTCATTGTATTTGTGCTTATATATTATATTG